GGCAGGGGTGAGTCTTCTAAGAGGTGAGTGTTGGGAACAGAATGGCCCAGTAACTGCTATTTTTGGCAAATATTTTTGCAGGTCCAAGTTGAGAATTAGGGTGTTAAAGGTAATAGAGATACCTCTGATTGCAGTATGGCAGTGCTTCTCAAATCTGGGTAGGCAGTTGCCCAAGTATGGGTGATGTGCTGGATAAATATGGCCCATTTTCCTAGAGGGTCTATTTTATATGAAGGTATGGGATATTTAAATACATATTATATCATTCATGTAATTAATTTTTAAAGATAAAGCAAGAGATGTCAAATAAATAAGTTTTGCCTGTGTCCAGGTTATGACCCCTACATCTTCTGCTTTTCCTTGGGGCCCTTGGGGCTGACATGGCTGGCCGTTGACGTTTATAGTGCAGTATGGCTGGGACCTAGAGAGGCCCTGTTAAAGGCCTTGATGAACCTGAAGGCCTAGCCCCTTTGCCCTCTTGCTAATGTAGGGACAAGTCAAAGAAGAAGAAGAAAGTAAAGGTAAAGATGGAAAAGAAGTCAACACCCTCTAAGGGCTCATCATCCAAGTCATCATCAAGGCAGCTCAGTGAGAGCTTCAAGAGCAAAGAGTTTGTGACCAGTGACGACAGCTCTTCAGGAGAGAACAAGAGCAAAAAGAAGAGAAGGCGGAGTGAGGTGCGGCAGGAGTTTGGGGGCTGGGGGGCCTGGCAGGGTGAGGGGCATCTGAGTTCGAGGTGGGAGGTGGCAGATGTTCCTGGGCTGAGGTTTGTGGCTGGTCCATAAGAGTACTGGGATGGAGTGGATAGGTGGAATTCTGGGGTTCTGAAGGCTAGTGTTGGAGTTTAGGGATGGGGATAGGGAACTGGGGGCCCTTTACCCACTGAACAGTGCCAGGAGGGCAACTGGGATTCTACCTTTCCCCTAAAGAAACATTTGGTTTTTCAGGACTCTGAAGAAGAGGAACTAGCCACCACGCCCCCCAGCTCAGAAGACTCTGCGTCCGGATCTGATGAGTAGAGAGGAGGAAAATTCTCTCTCCTTGGGCTTGTCCTGTCACCCCCCTGGCCTCCCCACCCATGTTTTTGTACCAGTTTCTCATACGAAATGTAGCCTTTGGATTCTCCTGGGGGGATGCACTTCACTGGGACAGCGGGGGTGTCTTACTCCCCTGCTGCTTCACAAGGATGGCTCTTCATAGTTTGGGGAGAGACAGGGCAATGCTGGATTCAAACCCTTGTCCTCCTTTCCCGACCTGAGGGATATAATAGCTGCTTGTCCTGTTCAAGTTGCTGCCACAGGGGTCATGTGAGCTCAGGCCTGTAGCTCCTAACTGGGGCCTATTTCTACTTTTATTTTGTATTTCTGGTCTGTGGAAAAAAAATCATTTAATAAAGGGAACTGACTTTGGAAACCATGTCCTCTGCCTTCTCTGTAGCCCTGCTGTATTGCTCTCCCTGTTCTTGGTGATGTTTACCACCCGCTCTGATGGGCAGGGCCTGCTGCCCGTGGGAATCCAGTCTTCAGGTACATCCTGTTCTGTTCCCGGCTGGACGAGCATTGGTTTTCACCCTCTTCTGCCGGGACGGGCCACCGGAGAGTGTGGAAATGAGAGCTGATCTGATTAGGAAGCCGCTCTCACAGTTCCACTCCATTAGCCAAGCTGCGGGGGGGCGGCTGCTGGCTCCATCCTCAATCACCGAGAGGCAAGGGTCTTCCAGGCCTCCGTTAATGGAATCAGGATCGACTGGCCGCTGCCACCGGGAGGAGGGAAACCTGAGCTGGACGGTTGGATGGGCGGGTGGGGGTGGGGTTACGGTCCGATGGGGGTGCAGGAGAGGAGTGGAATGCGGTGGAGCTTGGCAGGAAAAGGGGTGCACCAAATTATGAGGTCAGGAAGAGTTTGTATCTAGGGAGCGGGCATAACAGGAGGGGAGTGAGGAGGATCGGTGAGGAATATAGAGCTACAGTCTTCCTCACGGTGGCTCTCAATCTGAACTGGCACACGTGGGGTGGCCACGTGGCATCGGCTCCCAGGTGTCGCCACAGGAAGTCTCCCGCGGCCCGCGGTTCCCTTCTTTCCCCGCCTTGACTCTATGGTGCCGCAATCAGTTCGGGCCGCGGAGCCTGAGGATTGCGCCGTCGCCTTAGGTTTCCTCTCTAGGCCGTCGTCTCGGTGGCCATTTTGCCCCAACGCTGTTAGCGGCTGAATTGCGTCAGTTTCACCGGGTCGGATCCTGGGGCGGGTCCCTCATTTGCGAGCCTCATGAATAATTGAGTGGCTGGGCCGCTCCTGTTTGCATACGGTCAGGCGAGCTCGGCACGGGCTTTCCACTCCGGGTTTCCATTGGCTCATGGATATTCATGAGGCGCTCGGGGGCGTGGTCCTGGGCGGGGCCGGGGGCGGGGCCCCGCGGC